AAATCATTAGGAAGCAAAACACCTTCCGTACAATGAGAAAAATGCCTCGTGGCAAGTAAGTGGGCTAAAACATTACCCTTACGTCTAATGAATGAGAAAAAGCAACTAGAAAAAGATTGAGAAAAGAAGAAGCAATTGTCAAGATAAGCTCCATAAGAAGCGTATGACACCTCACCAAGGTTGAGGGCGTTGATAACTTCTAAGCAATCGCCTTCGATGACAACGGAGGTCCATCGTTTTGAAATCGCGAATTTTATCGCCTCTAGCACTGCTCGGGCTTCACACTCTGTTGGAGATGGGCGACCTGGAAGCTTCGTAACTTCCCAAGCAAGACACGAACCGCTATGATCCCTAGCCACCAAGGAAACCGTGTGGAATGGCTTACCTTGTGGGAGGGCCGCGTCAACATTAAGTTTAATACATCCTGGTCCTGGAGCAGCCCACGCCGAGGAGAGACGAGCCTGATGAGTAGTGGAGAGTCGTTCCATTTGTTGCTGATAGTCTGCCAAAACAGTTGCACACTAACTCACTGATATGCTATTCGTGTTAGCATTCCCATCGTGCAACAAATTGTTCCTCATGCCCCAACTTTTCCATGCAATCACCATGGCCAAATTGAAAATGCCCAAAGGCAGGGTACTACGGAGCAACGATAGCCATCCTCAGAAGGTCGTTCGTCGATCAAACGCGTTGAGGGAAAAAGGAGGGGCTGACCACATGCCATGCAGCTCGCGGCAAGAGATAGCATGCACGAGAGATTCTTCAGATACTCCACAACGAAAGCACAAAGGAGACGGAATCATTTTTCGTCGAAAAAGCTCAACACATGTGGGAAGTGATTCCAAGCACGCTCTCCAAAGGAAATTTCGAATTTTGGGTAGCAGCGAGAGGTGCCAAATGAAATTCCATTCTTGGTAGGATTCACTACTACTCGATCCCACATCATGTGGATTGTTTCTATTCCTGGAATAGAGATCGTACATTGCGTGGTAGCAAGAGCGAACTGAGAACTTGCCATTCTTCGAGTAGTGCCAAACCCAACGATCTGTCGAGTTGACGCTACCAATCGGAATGTTGAGGAAGCGATCCCGATCAATTGGCCAAAAAGTGTTGTCCAACGGTGCAAAGTTCCAAGAGCGAGAATTCGTATCAATTAAATCCGCCACTTTGTCCGGAAGGCCGTGTCAATTGGCCTAGAAGAAAGGATCCGAAAATTGGAGCTATCAGGAATCCAAGGATCGCCCCATATTGCCGTAGAGTCGCCATTCCCAATTCTTCGTCGAGTTCACACCGAGACCGATGGCCGAGCTTTGAGAAGGCTCTGCCAAGTCGCCAAAGGCCGGAAACCGATCAATCCAGTCATCACATTCCCCGAAGGATAGTACCGTGCTTTCATAATTCGGGCAAAGAGAGACTCAGGTTGGGTATAGAGTTTCCAAACTTGTTTTGCGAGTAGCGCTAAATTAAATGTTTTAAGATCCCTAAATCCCATCCCACCTTTATTCATCGGCTTGCAGAGTTGGAGCCAAGAGATCCATGTTGTCCTTTTCTTCTCACTTGAGCTCCACCAGAATCGTCGGATAGCGGCTTCAAGGTCATGAATTATGCCAATTGGAATAGCGAAACAACTCATCACATAGCTCGGAATGGCTTGAAGTACCGATTTCACCATAATTTCCTTGCCTGCTTGAGAGAGGGGCCGTTGTCCCCAACCTTTAATACGTGTCCAAATTCCTAAATATTACCGATAGAGGCAGGCATCCCTAAATATTTCTCGTGACGATCCACAATTTGGAATCCAAGTATCTGATGAATAGCTATTTTTTTCTCCTCCGACGTATTGGGGCTAAAATTCATAGTAGGCTTCTCCATGTTAATTTCTTGCCTGGACATTCGTGCATAAGTTTCTAAAATTTCCTTAAGCGTCAACGCATCCTCCTCCTCTGCTCTACAGAATAAAAGAGTGTCATATGCGAAACACAAGTCGAAATCATCGGGGCTGTTGGCGCAATCTTCACCCCCCTAAGGCGACCATCATCCGTAGCCTATTGAATTAGAGCAATCAAAATCTCCGCACATAGAATAAATAGATAAGGAGATAAAGGATCGCCCTGCATGAGTCCCCGAGAGGAATATAATTTACCAAATTGAGAACCATTGAACATTAAAGAGTAGGAAATGGAGGTGACACATAACATAATCAAATCAATGAAAGTAGAAGGGAAGCCAAAGCATGCAAGAACTTTTCTCACGAAAAGCCACTCGATCCTATCGTAAGCTTTGCTAATATCTAACTTGATAGCTATAAAAGATTCTCTATTACCAGACCTTGTTTTTATGAAATGATTTAACTCATAGGCGACTAGGACATTATCTGTAATGAGGCGATGCGGAACAAACGCTGATTGGGTGGGAGAAACAATATCGTTCAAAATCTTTCTCATCCGGTTAGTGATGAGTTTGGAACCAATTTTATAAATGACGTTACATAAGCTAATAGGCTGATAATCTGTATTTTTTTCCGGAGAGATACATTTGGGAATAAGAACGATAAAAGTATAATTGAGAGCCTCCGGTAGGATTTTATTATTCAGAAAGTCCAGCACACACGCAATAACACTGAAATCGATAATATGCCAATAGCGAGTAAAGAAGAGAACTGGCAGCCCGGACGGCACTCATTCAACGGTGCCATACTGTGTATGGTGTGATTTACCTCAGATTCCGAGAAAGGAATGGAGAGCACTTGTGCTGCCGTTTGAGACATCCTCGACGACATCTGACTCAATATCTCATCTATCTCTGCTTCATCCGGGTGAGTGGTCTGAAAGATCTGAGCAAAATAGTTCCCAATAATCCCCTCGATTTGATTATCTTGATCCTGCCAATTACCCATTTCGTCCCTCAACTTCTCCACCCAATTTACTTTCTTTCTCGCCGACGCTCGAGCATGGAAAAAGCGAGTATTCCGGTCTCCCTCTTGCTTCCATTGAATTCGGCTCCTTTGTTTCCAATACTCGTCATTGTCACCATATAACGCTTCAAGCTGACATTTGAGTTTAGTAATTTCCTCTTTGGTCCGTGTGGATTGAGTACTCTCCGAAAGATTCTGGATTTTTTGTTCGATCTGGTCAATTTGAATATGAGGAGCTCGGATGGAACTTTTGCTCCACTGAATGAGTGCCGTCCGGCAGCCCTTTGTTTTGTTAAGGAGGCGCTCCACAGGATTAGATCCCTCGTCATAATCCCACGCCTGTTTAATCACTTCTTCACACTCATCGCGACGAACCCACATGGATTCGAATCTGAATGGTTTTTTGCGCCTGCTCCGCCATTGAAGAGTCGTGCCTTGAAGAACAAGAAGTATGGGCAGATGGTCGGAGCCCGCGAAGTGCAGGTGGTGAACTTTGGCATAGGGAAAAAGATTAGACCATGCACTATTGGCACAAACCCGATCTAATCTACATCGAACCGTATGAGGGTGTTCTCGCCGGTTAGACCAAGTAAATGGAAAGCCCTCGAACCCATATCCAGTAAGCCGCAATCATCAAGACATTCTCGGAATTCCTCAATCTGCCCAGGCGGCTTATCGTTACCCCCCTCTTTTTTCGAGTTCGCCACTATTTCATTAAAATCTCCTCCGACGATCCATGGGATCTCGGATTGGCCGCTTAGAGTGCGCAACAGATTCCATGACTCGCGACGGTTCCTCGGCTCTGGGCAGCCGTAAAAACCCGTAAATCTCCAATTTCCTTCGTTTTGAAACCCCGTACATTTTTTCTTTATTTATAATACATATTAAAGGGATGAACTTATTTACGAAAGAGATATAACCCCTGATCTAGAATAATAAGATGTTTGGTCAGAGATTTATGTACGAAAACCCCTTTTTAATTAACTGCTCTTGTAACGGGCCTATTTGCCATTTATCTTTTATTTTATTAGTAGAAATTCAATTTTTTTTTTTGAGGGAAGTAGAAATTCAAATTTTGGTAGACTATGGGCATTTTTGTTTCTATTTCCAAAATGATTTTCCAATTTTATACTATACATAAAACTGGGATTATGTTTGTTTGTGACTTTTCACTTGGAAATTCCTATTTTTCTTAAAACAATTTCCAATAGAAATACACTATTCATACTTTTCCCTCTTTTCAAACCTATAATAATACCTACTAACCTATTTCTCTCTCCTCCATTTTTTCTCCCATCTCATCAATAATAATAATAATAATAATAATAATAATAATAATAATAATAATAATAATAATAATAATAATAATAATAATAATAATAATAATAATAATAATAATAATAATAATAATAATCATCATCACCATCATCATCATCCCTAATTATTATATTCTACTTTTGCACGTATTTTCGTAGAGAAAATTCTTACAACCAAACATATTCTCATATCTACACCTATATAAAACTAAAAATACCACTTCATTCAAACATATTCTCATTTTCTACACGAAAACCAATACATCTACTTTTGCCATCAGAAATTTTAAAAACTAGAAATTCCCATTGGAAACATAACCAAACATCCCCTATAATTTCATTAAGATTGGACTTCATGAAAGACGTGTTTGAAGACTCGTGGTTTTATGAAGCGTAATAAACGCAATTTAGAAGTTAAAAAAATCATTTTATGTTTAAGATCAACTTATAGAAACACTCAGCAACAGAGCTTACCAAAGATAGAAATTAGAAGCAACAATAATGTTGAATCTTGTCTTCTTCTACAATGAAAGATTCACAAAGCAATAAACAATAAAATTATCAATTCATTTAAAATAAATAAATGGGGATAGTCGGATACCCTTTTCCCTCCAATCATTCTCAACTCTGTTCCCTTTGGACCATTGTGCTTTGTGGGTGGGAGTGGGACCCTCTCTCTCTCTCTCTCTCTCTCTCTCTGTCTCTCTCTCTCTCTCTCTGTCACAATTCACACACGCAGTTAGTTCTTTTCGGCTCTCTCTCTCTCTCTCTAAAGTCTAAACCAATTTACATTGTGTGTGTGACATTTACTCGTGCTCCGGCGGAAGAGAAGGAAGTTAAAGAGTAGACGAAATCAATTCCTCTGCTTCTACGGAACCTTTTCTCCATATCTTTCTCCATTAACCCCAACCATTTTTTTCTGAATCTCTCTCCCTCTCTCTCTCACGTCTTCTTTTTTGGCAGTTATCAGTCTTCTTCATCTCGCACATGAGGTTGGTTATTTCTCTTTCTACTGTTTCGCTATCTGTGGGTTTTGGATATTTTGCACTTTTGTCTGATTTAAGATGGTTAGATACTTAGATTGTGTTCAAAACCTGAAATTCCGAGGTGTTTATTATGGTGTAGTTATGATTTGAAACTGATTTTGCATGTTGTCTGTACTATTTGATTTGGGATTTCTTTATGGATATGGTTAATAAGTACTGTACTATGTATCAGTTTCTGATATCTAGGCTTGGGTTGACCTAACTAAATTGTACCAAACCAGTTCAGTTTTATATATTTACCTTAATTGCACCAATTTTTAGTTGAAATGAATTGAGCTCTTTGATTAATTAGCGGCCGAGTATTGTTTACGGGAGGATTATCTTTGGTTAAGAAGTAGGCGATGATGAAATCTGTTTATGAAAATGGCTTCCATTTATTCCAAACAGCTAAATTATGCTTCATTTCGTTACTTCAGAGAGTTGGTTAAGACTGATATATGTTATCTTGCTTATTTTCTCATTAATGTGTGCTTTGTCGAATTGACCAGATACAGTATTTCGCCAACTGTCACACTTCACCTTTTAGCACTCGATCCAACTATCATCTATTAATGTGAACTTTGATGAAATTCATTTTCCCAGTTATGAGGTCGATAGGCAAAGAAACACCCGAATGGAAACTCCCTAGCGGAATCGATGCGTATGGTGATACTAGTTCGTTTTCTACTTCATTGCCCGTCCTTTCACACCAGAAATGTAAGCTTTGAACAATTATTTATTCACCTGATTTGATTATTGTGAATTTTTCCTTTACTCTAAAAATGATGTCTTATATAATTAATTGCAGTTACTTTTAACGACTCGGAAAAAAGTGGTCAGTCACTTGACGATGGCTTTCCTAGCCTTAGTAAAGTAAAGGATCCATTTATAGATACTGAATCGTCAAGTATGAATGGAAGCTTTCTTCTTCTTCCTGGTGATGAAGATGAACTATTAGCTGGTCTTATTGATGATTTCGATCTTAGTGGATTGCCAACTCAGATTGATGACTTGGATGATGATATTTTTGGATTCGAAATCGAACCCGAAAATCAAGACAATATACTCAACACTAGTATAATATCAAGGCTAAGCTTGTCCGAGAGTATTAATGGCAGCATTTCTCATTACGCTTTTGGAAATGGTGCTGCAACTGTTGTCGGTGAACACCCGTATGGAGAGCACCCTTCGAGGACTTTATTTGTGAGGAATATTAATAGTAATGTGGAGGACTCTGAATTGAAGTCTCTCTTTGAGGTATTGTTGAAAAGATTCGAAATTTAGAAATGATCGATTTTTTTTTTAATTGAAAATTACTAATTTGTCCCTCTGCTTCTTTTCTCTTTCTGCCGCCAAAATCATAAAAAAGGAATATGGAGATATCAGAACACTTTATACTGCATGTAAGCATAGGGGATTTGTGATGATATCTTACTATGACATTAGAGCAGCTCGAACAGCAATGCGGGGATTGCAAAATAAGCCTTTGAGACGAAGAAAACTCGATATTCATTTTTCGATTCCAAAGGTCTGACTCTGAGTGAACCCCGATATATTCTGTTTGCATGTTGCTAAATGAATGTCCTACTGAAAACTGTTGCTATGTTGCAGGATAATCCATCGGAAAAGGATGTTAACCAAGGAACTTTAGTTGTTTTCAATTTGGATGCTTCTGTATCTAATGATGACCTTCGCCAAATATTTGGAGCCTATGGGGAAATTAAGGAGGTATAAATTCTTTTTCTTTTTTCTATTGTTTTTTTTTTCTCACTTTATTCTGCATGATATATATATATATATATATATATATATATGTAGATAAGGGAAACTCCGCACAAGCGACACCATAAGTTCATTGAATTTTATGATGTGAGAGCGGCAGAGGCAGCTCTCAAGGCATTAAATAGAAGTGACATAGCTGGGAAGCGCATAAAGCTTGAACCTAGCCGACCTGGTGGGACCCGTCGGAGGTATGCTCCCATTTCTCGGTCTTTTACTAGCTGTTCTAATTACAAGCACAAGCAAAACACAAAACTGCCTGAAATACAAGTTTCAGATATACTTGCACTTCTTCATCCTTTTTGCCCTCTGGGATTTACATTTTCTTTTCAATGAGTAAAAAATTTCAACATGCTCAAAATATATTTAGATGTGAAAATGATTGCCAGTAATTTTTACAACGGCAATGCATGTAATTTTCCGTGACAGCATAATGCAGCAACTGAATCAAGAGCAGGAGCTAGACGAAGCTCGATCTCTCCTTCACCAAGTTGGTTCCCCGATGGTCAACTCTCCTCCTGGAATTTTAATCAATGGTCTGCCTGTTATAGTTATCCTGCATTATTTATATAAAAAAAATAAAAATTAAAAGAAACTAAAACAGAGGTGGCACTCATTGCAGGTAGCTGGCAAAATATCGGCAGTCCAGTGGAGCCGAATCCTTTGCATAATAGTTATAGCCCCGTTGGAAGCAATCAGTCGCCTGGTTTGGCTTCTATTCTTCTTCCTCGTCAAATATCAAGTCCTGTCAAGATTTCACCCATTGGTAAAGATCCCTCGAGATTGGCCTATCAGCAACATTTCTCTGTACCCGTTGCTAATTTAAGTCCAAGTCCTATTTCGTCTTTTAGTGATTCAAAGGGATCGAGCGTTGGAACTCTTTCCGGTCCTCAGTTTCTTTGGGGAAGTCCCACTATTCAATCGGACCACATCAATTCTCCCGCCACGTCATCATTTTCACGCCCGTTAATATCCAATGTGCATGGAATTGGTCTTCCTCATCTTCATGGCCCGTTTCTTCGCTCACATCATCATCATCATGTGGGGTCCGCTCCATCTGGTGTTCAATTGGATAGACATTTTGGTTTTTTCCCCAATTCACCTGAATCTTTGTCCTATATGAATAAGGCAGCGTTTGGACTCGCGCCAAATTTTGGTCAGAATAATGGGAATCGAGCTTTTAATGGAAACTTTGTTGGGAGCGGTTCTCCTAGTTCAAGAATGATGTCGATGCCGAGCAATGGTGCTTTGTATTTTGGGATTAATAGTTCTTTTGGAGATGGAATTATTGACCGTGGTCGAATTAGAAGGGGCGATAGTGGAGTAATGATGGATAACAAAAGGCAGTATCAACTTGATTTGGAGAAGATTCTAAATGGTGAAGATATTAGGACTACTTTGATGATTAAGAACATTCCCAACAAGTAAGAACTCATAACTAAAAAATGAATTGTTATGTTGTGGGTTTTGCGATCAGAATTGTTGATTCGTTTTTTGTATTTGTGTTATTTTCCATCTCTGAAGGTACACTTCGAAAATGCTGCTTGCAGCTATTGACGAAACACACAAGGGTGCATTTGATTTTCTCTACTTGCCCATCGATTTTAAGGTAATTATTATTATGTGTTCAGTTAGTTGATTTTGTTTGCATCCTCTTGAGGTTTTGTTTTTGATTTCACTAAATCCAGAATAAGTGCAATGTTGGTTATGCTTTCATCAATATGGTATCTCCTTCTCACATCATCTCCTTCTTTGAGGTATGTGTTGCTCTACTCCATTGTAATTGGTTAAAAAGATTGGGTTTTTTTTTTATTGTAGAAAACCCGAGTTTATTAACTTAATTGTGATTTGACTCAATCATTGAAAGGCATTTAATGGGAAGAAATGGGAGAAGTTCAACAGTGAAAAAGTAGCCTTTTTGGCATATGCAAGAATCCAGGGAAAAATAGCTCTCATCTCACATTTTCAGAATTCAAGTCTAATGAATGAAGATAAGCGATGCCGACCCATTGTGATCCAATCGGAGGGCCAAGACATTTCTGATCTGGTATGTATGTATGTTAACATTGTATAACCACAATATGTTTATCTACGAATTTGTTTGTGTTTATGTTGTTGTTTCACTATTTATATATGTACATATATACATATATAAGAGACATTCTGAATATATATACGTGGCAAGTGAAGGAAAAATTCCCGTCAGCCAATCTGAATATATATATCCGCCAGAAAGATGGAAGTTATGCAGGAGACGTTCTTGACGACAGCCCAAATGGTGATCCATACGAGACATTCTTCTAACAAATGAAAGATGCTTGTAAAATACGTGCTAATTTGTACATGTACATTAAGGAGGACTTTTAGTACTTGTTGTCGATATGTTTCTCTTTTTTTTTTTTTTTTTTTTTTTTTGTCAATTCCTTTTTTGGTGTATAGAGGGCTATATTATGTCTTGCAAGTGTATATACAATAGTACTAGGTTGTTGTACGAGGAGCATATCTTAATGGATCTTTTGTAAGAATACTTTGTTGTGTATATACCTTTCTTTCTTTGTTTTGTGTGTGTTAACAGCATGAACAATTACAATTGCATTGCATCATCAAGCCATATTCATCATGCTACATAATATGCAGCAGCCAAACCTACGCTAGTCGATTAAGAATAGCATAACCAGAATCAATGAACTAGTCTTGTAAGGACGACCACCGTCATATTCATAACTAGTGCATCAAATCCCTTGCTTGCATATCCTCCACATAGTCGTCAACTTCCGGCAACGTATATGAGTAAGTTATCACATGAGATAAGTCATTTCGTTTTAATTACCCCTTATCATTTATATGAAACTCATTCTTTTGACGTCAACACTTTTTGCACATAGTAAATTTTAAATTTATCTATTAAGTACGATCGTGCGCAAGCGAATACCCAATCAAACCTATCAAACAAGCTCAAATTAAATACTTAAAAAAGAAAAAGAAAAAAAAAGGCTAATCCTCGAACATAAAAACCTCATCAAAATAGCATCTCGTGTTTGATTCGTTCAAGTTGAAGAGTGTATTTGGTCAAATTTAGATGGCAATTGAAAATCCCGAAATGAATTCTTGAATGTAAAAACAGAAGAGTCTTTTATTAATTAGCTAAATTGCCGAAGCAGTGTTCAGATTTGAAGAGCATCGGCGATAGATCCAGCGAGACTCAGAATTTCAAAAGGAGCTTTGCCGGAGATAGCTTCCACAGTAACGGGGCATGAATCGCTTATCCAAAAGTGTGTGAACGCCTTCTCCGACTCTTCTACAACATTTACATTCACTCAGAACAGGAAACATAAAATAAATAAATAAAAAAAAGAAGGGAAAAACGAACAATTACCGTTGCTCTTGTGCACAAACCGCTCCCATGACTTCTTTGGGAACACACCATGTGTGACATAAGCACTAACCTTCGCTGCACCATGAGCTGCCAATACTTTCTGACCAAACCAAAAAAGTAACTACTTTACAATATGAGAAAACTCAACAATTCCTTTTTTCTTTTTTAATCAGTTAGATTTATTAGCAACTTTTGATTCTAAAATTTAATATGCTACATGGGTTTACATCAAAAGATTGAGTCACAAGAGTAGGGATAGTTTTTGTGCATACGAATGATCCCACCTTTATCCAAGCCAACTTGATCTGTAAACTTGTTGTTTTATTAGCATATAATATACATTTAATAGCAATTTTCATGCCATTGTTTGTTGGAGGAGGTTTCGAAAATAATCTTAATTTGAAACCTTTGGTTTATGAGAGTGTAGTTGCATGAATGTGGATGCATAGCTATTCTTACCGTCTAAAAAATCACAATAACAAGACCACCAAAACTACTATAATGATACGTTTAGCCAAGAATGTAAGATTTCCGGAATAATTCTACTAAATTAAAATTCACCGATAATAATTCATCGAAAAACACAAGAGTCGTAAAAAGGTAGAATAAGGGACGAAGAAAGACCTGGCATTCAATTAAAGTGCCACCAGACTGGACCAAGTCATCGACAATGACAACATGGCAACCTTCAGGGTTCCCCTCTTTTATCCTAACTATTCTTTTGTCTCCTTCACGTACCTTGTTGCATATCACCTATACGTTTTAATATACACACAAATTTCCGAATTAATAAATCACAAGCAACATACAAATAAAATCAATTATTTATTTATTTTTTATAATAGAGACGAACCATGGGAAAATGATCTAGCAGCTTGTGGAATCTTTTCCAAGCTCCATCATCTGGAAATGCCACAACTATCTGGTGAAATAAAATAAAAAAACCAACCATATAAGTTAACAAGCCCAGATAATTAATAAAACGGAATAATTAAAAAAATTAGTGAGACCTTATCCGATTGTGGAAGTTGCTGAAGGCGCTGCTTCAAAAGTGGGATCCCACTCTCAAACACAGGCAAAACAGTGTCGCTGAAGTAAAATCTTTCCTGTATAAATTACAATTATTGTTATTACAGCGGTTAATTTTAGCTGACGGAGAAAGGGGAAAAAGAAACAGCACCACTGGTATTGAATAACGATAAGCTTTACAAATATGATAGGTCAACATCTTTACAAACTGAAAACCCTTTAACGAAAGTTCGATCACCACCAGAAACGAGCAGCAGCATCTTAAATAATATAAAATGAATTAGTAAGGAAAAAAACCTGGAGAGCATGTATGTCATAGATAACCAAACTGGTGGGACCGCCCCTCGAAATAGGAGTGTTAGATAACATCCTAGCGAGGGTAAAAGCAGTAGCCACGTCACCTTCCTCTTCGATTCTTTCAAAAGAACCAGTTGGAAAGAAAGGCAAAACAACAGTAAATGAAGCAACAAACAGCATTGGAAGTGCGTAAATGACCGAAAGCTGTTCAAAGATAACGTCGGTTGAGCTGAAAGATGCCAAAAAGGCGACGTGCTGGCCTCGGATATCATGTGCATTTTTTATGAATAGATTTGGAAATCCGTCATCAAAACTCCTGTTAAACAATCAAACCCCATTACGACTCAGCAATGGTAGAGATAAAATGAATTGATGGTACTGTTAATTCAGATTCAGTTTGGAAGACACAAATTCAATAAGAAACTAAATAAAAACAAACAACTGGGATGCTACATCACTTCTCCAAACTAAATTATTAATTGCCAAGAACTAAATTTTATCGAGCAAAAGGGGGAGTTACAATCGAGTTCTAATCTCCAATAATTTCATCTCTCTGCGTAATTATCACATCTGCCGGGATGCATAGCATCTGTATACAAATCTATATGAGCAAACAGAAGCAAAAGATCAAGCAAGAAGGAAAATATGCAGAAGCTTTCTCACTCCTCAAAATACAAGTCACTTCAGTCTCACCTCTGAAACCACAATTTACATAGATGATAATGTATATTCATCAAAACAAAAGCGACACACTTTTGAACATCATACGAAACAGCAATACATCCAATAATTCTACATACCAAGAAAATATTTAGGCCCAAAAATAAAATTTCCCTTTTCATGTTTTCTTTCTCTCTCTTCTTGTTTTTTCTGACTTTTGGAGTTGAAGGTGGGAGTTTTTACCTCCAATTAATGGATTGAAGCTGAATGAAGTCCGACTGAGCAGCAACCTTTCGTGCCAAATCTTCCGCCTCCACACAGTAGAAAAGCAATATTTGCTTCTTTTTGGGTCTCTCCATCTCTCTCTCCTTCTCTGTCTCTCTCTCTCCTGTGTTTGGGACTTTTGCCGCCAAGAAGAAAATGAAGAGAGTGAAGGCAGAAGAAATTGCGAGGACTGCGATACTGCGAGTATTTTTGGGGTTTGGTTTATCACTCTCTCTCTCTCTCTCCTGTGTTTGGGACTTTGGTCGGGTTAGAGTCAAGCCGGTAGTAACTTGTTGAAGCTGGACTATTATTCGCTCTGTGGTACGGCCCACGCCGTTCCATAGCTAATAAATAGTAGGCCCCTTTTTTTCTTTTCATTCTTTTCAATTATTAGAATACTAATTTAATCTGTTAGTGGTCTAACATATTTTCACACTTGAAAATTTCAAATCCTAACAATTCCACTCTAAATTATATTATACTTTACAAAGGAATATTAATACACTTGATTCTATTCCCACCCTAAACAAATCTCATTTCAAAGGAATATTTACACATTTATCATACATTTATAATTTTAGTAACTTGTTTGAATTAAAATCTTTTCCGTAAATAAAGGTGCATTAATTAATAATTATAAGATTTTCTTTTCTTACTAGTAGCTTACTCGTGTCGTGTGTGATGCACGGAATCAATTCAAAGTTCAATTTTTTTAATGATTAAAATACGCCAATGATGTAAATCAAACGCATTTGCTAACGAAAATAGGATTCTAATGTGATGCATGGGGCAATATAAAATATGAAAATATGTTTTAGATAAAATGATCGAACGAAAACTTTTAATAGTTGATATAAAATACGATATAATCTTTTTTTTTTTAAACGATATGATCAATTGCATTTGACTTAAGTACCGAGATAAACAAAATAAATGATAAAAGAAAATATAAAATACGAAAAATTGTGATATGAAAAATAAGATACATTATCTGATCCAAATGGTACAACTATATATCCTTTCCAAGACACTTGGATCCTTAACGGAAAACCTAATTATCAATGTAGTGTTTTACAATACATGCATTGACATCGTCTATAACTCATCTAATACCTTGCAAGTTACACCACATTTTTCATTGTTCAAATGCAATAAGTGATACGCATTACTGAAACACAAGTCACCTAAAAGTGTAAGAAATAATACAATTTATACTAAATTACCTTGATTTAAAGAAAACAAAAAAACTTCAGTGGAGTCGACAATAAAATTAGCATAAAGTGCAAATAAACTTAATACGACAAAATAATTATATATAAATAATACAAAAACAAATGTGTACATTTATAAATTATGATGTACATATATATTTCCTGAAAAACTTCCTTGTAGACAACATTGAAAGCAATATTAGTCGCCTATTCCGGATTGATGACAAAAAAAAATACTAATATTAATATCAATACAAATATCAATACCAAGACTAACACTAACACTACCACTAAGTACTAACACTACCACTAACACCACTAGCACTAATATGTATACATCTTGTAGCAACATGTTTAGATATTTGTGTTACCTCTTGCTCATATGATATTCAAAATAAAAAAAAAAAAAAAAAAAAAAAAAAAAAAAAAAAAAAGAATGAGTAAAGATTCAATCAACACAAAAATTTGGAAATAGCTATCCCCATATAACCCCATAAATGTCAAAATCAAAACTTAATATATATAATGTATTAATTGTGATAATTTGGATGGTTGTGGTTAATTCATATTTTTATTTTTATAGTTAAGTAGGATATCGTCGATAAGTAAACATTATAGAGATTAGGAACATATATTAAATCATTCAAGTATTAGTTATAATTATGAAAGAATCAACTGATATATATCTAGAATAATACCGGTGATTTAATTAAAGAAAAAGGTTGACTTTGTTTATTGATCAGTTCGCATGAAACGGGAGAATTAATCTCATAGTTTAGAAAGAATATCAAATGTAAATGCAAATAAAAGAAAAAAAAAAAAATAAATTAAACTCGATAATTACTATAATCTATTATATATGTAATACGTTAAAATTACATATTAGTCTAATATAAATTATATTTAAACAATAATTATATAAACTCATATTTGATTTCATTAAATATCGCAAAACATAACAAATAATCATCGAATATATATTTCAATTACTACCAAATCATTAACTCAATATATATTGGTAAGGATTAATTCCACTTTGCACACCTTAAACGTAGTATTTTGACACCTTAATTACATCCTTGAAAAAAATTAATAGCACTTTGTCATTAACAATGTAACCACAAATAAATTTGTAAAATAATTAATGCGACAAATTTCATATTTTTAGTCGCACTTTTATAAATATGCAAATTGTCAAATTAATTATTTTAGTCTTTTCAAAATAAATTGAGTTTCGAATCCAAGAACCAATCTATTGACAAGTCAAATAAACATACTTTTTAAAGTTAAGGATTCTCATATAACTCCGTAAGTATCACTACATAGAAAATTAAAAAGGAATTAGTATGTAATGCGATTCTTCTTATTGAATAAAATCATATTAATTTAATAAAGAATGAAAGGAAACATCAAAATATACTCGTATTTATGCAATTTGTAATTTGGACGTAAATTGATTATCAGAACTATTTTAATTATTTTATCATGTAAGGATGATATTCTATTTTTTATGGGGCATTTAGCAATAAACCCCTTGGATGAATAATAAATGGTGATATGTCCAACCCTTAAATCTTTCTTTGTGATAACCCCCTATAAATATTTTTTTTGAACAAAAATAGCAGCTTATATTATAGTCGCCAAATCGGCGGGAAGATCAAGAGCTTCCAAAAAATCAACATCAAATAAATGAAAATGCGCTAAGGCGTGGGCTAACATATTACCCGATCGTCGTACAAAGGAGCAAGAAAAAGAATCAAAGGAGCTGGACAGCTGAAGGAGAGAAGTAATAATCGCCACATATGATAGACAAGGATCAGCCTCTTTACCTTGGATTGCCGAAATTATTTGTGCATTATCGCCCTCGAGAATTACCTGCTGCCAGCCACGATCTAAAGCAAAGCGGACTCCCACCATTGCAGCCCGTGCTTCTCCATCTACCGCATACGGATTCCCGGCAAGGCGGCGAACACACCAGCCTAAGCTTTTGCCGTCATCACCCCGAGCCACCACCGCCACCTGGTATTTATCTGTCTCGATAAAACCCACATCAAAATTGAGTTTCACAACTGGATTCGATGGAGCCTGCCAAAAGGAATTTAACTCTCGACTCGTCGATAGCCTTGGAAGTGAGGCTGCTTTATAGGAACTGAGGAAATGCGAGGCCCATTCGACTAAATCTTCACCCTCCCCAGTCGACTCTCCATGAACTATTTGATTTCTCACATACCAAATTCTCCAGCACACCACACAAGCTAAAAGGAAGACGTCTCCAGCAAGTCGAGACCGTAGGAGTTTAAACCAAGCTGCCAAGTTGGTGTCTGTTGCGGGCAAAGTGAGACCGAAGACGGGATCTTGCCACACCGGAGAAAAGAATGGACACTCAAAGAAAGGGTGCGCCGTAGTTTCCAATCTAGTACGACACAACGGACAAAACGGGTTGCCTTCCATGTGTCTCCTCGCCAAAAGGACTCTCACTGGGATGGCGTCAATACAAGCTCGCCATATAAAGGTGCGGGCTTTAGGAGGAAGGTGGAGACCCCAGACCCACTTCCACTCGCTAGAGGAGAGCGTAGTGTCCGTGGTCGACGAAGAAACTGCGAGGTTCGATGCTTGCTCAAAAATTTGATGATAGCTCGATGTCACTGTAAATTTTCGTGTCTTAGAAAAGGACCAGTAGGGATAATCCGGAGAATCGTAAGTCCCAATCGAAACTTTGAGGATTCTACCAATGTCGCATTCCCAAAGAACCTGCTGCATTTTATGCACATCCCATGCACCAACCTCCCAATCAATAAGCTCGCCCGCCGTGTTAGGGGAAGAGGTATGAGATGGTCGTTTAGTAATCACCCTTCCTGACCCTTCTGAGGTGAGCCACGCGTCTCCCCAAATTGAAGTGATTTCCCCGTTTCCGATACGCCTCCTCAATCCTGCCTCAAGATGCGATCGTGTGAGCAAAATACTTCTCCAAGTCAAGGATGGGCGGTTGCCCACATCAGCACAAAAAAAAGAGAACGAGGGAAAATAGCGGTTGCGATAGATCCGAGCTAGAAGGGAATTCGGGCAAGTGATCATCCTCCATGCTTGCTTGGTGAGAAGGGCAAGGTTAAAACTCGCCAAATCGCGGAAACCCATACCCCCTTCTGCCTAAGGCAAGCCCACGAAACCCAGGAAATGCCCTTAGATGTCTTTGAACCCCACCAGAATCGTTGGATGATTTTCTCGAGCTCATTCAAGATAGTATCCGGCAACTTAAAGCAAGCCATCACATAGGTCGGAATGGCCGGAAGTACTGATTTTATGAGAACCTCTCTTCCCGCCATCGAGAGTTGTTTCTCAAGCCATTTGTGCACTCTGGACCACAACCTATCCTTAAGGTAGTTAAACATTTCCACTTTAGATCGACCAATCCGAGCTGGCGAACCCAGATATTTGTCGAATTTCTCGACAATTTGAAACGGTAGGGCTTCGTGAATAGCGTCGATGTGCGCTTGGGGAGTGTTGGGGCTGAACACAATGGTAGACTTCTCCATGTTGATTATTTGTCCAGAAGTTGCTGCATATTTTCCCAAAATGGTACGTATAGTCTCTGCGTCTTGTGTTGGGTTTCGGGCACGCATACGCAGCGGAAAACAAAAATTTTTGCGATTTAAACGACTTTAAAAACACATAAGAACATGCCCGATAAATTAAATTCAATTAATTGCGTACCTTTGCGCTTCCAGCGAAATTAAAACAACAACATGCTTGATTACTTAATCGAAATTAAATCAATTAGCATGCTCGCGTTTAAATCAAATAATCATGCTCGCAATAATAAAACCAATTTCATGTAGACACATAAAGTCATACAAGTTTCTTATTAAAACGAACATGCATATATTAATTTAAACGTAACCGAATCGAATGACAATAGATTCGAAACATTACCTCTTGAAGCGTGAGGTAGGCGCACTTAGCAAGTCGAGATTGCTACGGAAACCAATCCGTACAATCGGGGCAGCAGCGGTGCAGCGGCAAGAGCGGCGAGACGGCCACGGCGGCGCGTGAATCTCACGCGCAGAGAAGATGGCTAGCTGC